CGCGATTTCGAACGGCTCCGATTGCGACCGTACCCGGAATTATTACGAGACTGCTGTGCGGTGATCAGGTTGGAGATTTGTGTAGTCAACGAGAGAATGGCGGCCTCCATGGCGCGGAGACGGTCGTCCGAGCTGCTCGATTGCACCGCGAAAACATCGCGCGAGGTACTGGCCTCCAAAACGCGATCTGCGCGTTCGGCGATATCGGTCAACGTCCCGTCGAGGCCGGAGACTATTGCACGGAAATTTGACGGTAACTTCTGTAGCCAGAATTACTTAAGCGCGGTGTCGTCTAACGAATTAGGAAGCACCGCTCTCATGTCTCGGAGCATTTGGGAGGGTCTCCGATCGCCCATTCCGCCCGGTTCGACAATGGTGCGAAAACGAGTTGACGGCGGCACTGAAAACGTGTTGATGAGGCGGTCTTTTAGACTGGCGTAGGACGTGCTGGGGCCGATCAGGTCGCTTACAGCCTTGACCGCCTCCTCGTTCAAGGCAGCGAGCACGTGGTTCACGCGCGGAGTGTCGGCGCGAATTCTTTGGTTTGAAAACACGGCATCAGCGTGTAGGAACCACTCGTGCGGGGAGTAAGTCCAAAAATTCGGTAGCCGGGGCACGTGGGAAACACTGTCAACCGAGGTCGTAACGGTCGCGGTCGCGGATGGTGACAGCTGGCCGGGCGCACCGGTCGCATCTTGCGGGACTTCACCGTCAATCATTGCGAAAGAGTAGTTGCGTGTATATATGGAAAATGTAAATTTTGAAACACGAGGTCACCAATGCGGCAATTTAAGTATTTACACTCAACTGGAAAAAGGTTTGGAGGTTAGGAGCAGAAACTTAAATTGACGACAATAATAAATTTGTTTTTTTTTNATCAACATAGACTGGTAGACATAAAAAAGGGCTTTGCGCTTTGGCGAAAAAAATAACAAAACGAACGTTACAAAAGAAATATACAAAACAAATTGTTAGACAAAACGGCGAGCGTCGAGGCGGATCGTGCGTCGGGTAGAGCAGGGGTCGTGTGTGTGTAACCGCGACGGCATCTGTAGGCGAACTGACTTCCCCGCGACAGTTGGTAGTTGGGGAACAGTATTGTGGGACAACCGTCGCCACAATGTCATTCTATAATCAATGATATGAGCAGGGTGTTATCATGGATAATTCCCATTCAGGAATTCCGATGACCGGCATTCGTATTTCGTATAATAATTTATTAATAAATAATAATCCTTAACGTGAAGTACTAAAAGTAAAGTGACCGTGTAAATTCACAAATCATATTTAACCAAAATGGGCAAACCTAAACGTTTGTGTCGATTCACGCCTGAACTTCGAAATAAATACAGTTTCCTAAAAGAAATCAATGGATCTGATTCCGAACTACTATGTGGAAAATGTAAACGGACTTTCAATATTTCACACGGAGGTGGATATAATATTGAACGACATATTCAATCAATTAAACATAAATCAGCAGATTTAGCCGTTTCATCAAGTAAGCCATTAACGACATATTATAAAAGTAGCGCACCAAGTTCAAGAGATTTGGAAATAGCAGCTGCAGAAGGTGCTTGGGCATACCATACAGTTTCTGAAAATCAGAGCTTTCGTTCGCATGACTGCTTTTCTAAACTCACACAGGCTTGTTTTGAACCTAAATTTCATTGTGCCAGAACAAAGTGTGAAAAAATAGTAACCAATGTTTTTGCTCCATATGCAATTGATATTCTAACTAATCAGCTTAAAAACGCAAATTGCATAAGTATTTTAACTGATGCTTCAAACCATGGAAATATTAAGTTGTTTCCTTTGCTTGTTAGATTGTTTGACCCCCTATATGGAATTCAGATAAAAATATTAAATGTCGAGTCTCAGCCTGGTGAAACTTCTGATATTATTATAAATTATATTGTAAAAACAATAGATGATAATAATATTAGAAATAAAGTAGCTGCATTTTGTGGGGACAACACCAACTGTAATTTTGGTGGTGTTTCAAGACGTGGCACTAATAATGTGTTCCATAAATTACAAGGAAAGCTGGGAAAACAATTGATTGGAGTTGGTTGTGCTGCCCATATTATCCACAATGCTATACAAACCGCTGCTGACTGTCTTCCTATTGATATAGAATGTATAATAGTAAAAATCTATTCTTTTTTTTACATTTACACTGTTAAGAGTGGAAGAATTGAAAGATTTTTGTATGTTTGTAGAAATTGAGTATAAAGCTATTCTTGGCTATAGTAAAACAAGGTGGCTTTCGCTTATGCCTTCAGTAGAAAGAATTTTAAAACTATTTCCTGCTTTAAAATCTTACTTTTTGAGTCAAGATAAAGGACCTCTAATATTAAAAACATTTTTTAGCAATCCGTGTGCAGAACTATGGTTAAACTTTATTCACAGTCAAGCTGCCACATTCCATCAACATGTTTTGAACATAGAAGGCCAAAACATACTTGCAGTTGAAGTATTTAATGAGATAAAACAACTTAAAAACAACTTGATGCATAAAAAACAAAATAAATTCATTCCATTGTCTGTAAGAACACTTATTAGGCAACTAGATGACGGATTAGTACAAGAATCTGACATTCTAACTGTAATTGAAAATTTTTATAGTACTTCCGAGCAATATTTAACATCTTGGACTTATCATTTTGAAGAACTAGAAATAATGGAATGTATTACCCTTAAAAAAGTTCCAAATTGGTCTGAAATAGAAAAGGTTGCTGAGTTCATTTCAAATAAAGGATTTTTCAATCCCAATAATGATACTGCATTATTTGATCAATTTATGCTTACATTACAGTATGTTACACAAGAAAAAATTGATGAATGGAACTTAGAAAAAAAACCCACAGATCAACGCTGGGTTTGTATTTTCAAATATTTTAAAGAAAAAGACATACAATGTGATAAAATGATAATAATAGTAGAATATGTGTTATGTCTGCCGGGTTCTAATGCATCAACTGAACGTGTTTTCAGTCACATAACAAAAATTTGGACCAAGGAAAAAACCCAGTTGAACGTGTCTACATTAAAAGCATTATTAATAACCAAGTTAAACTTTGATTACACTTGTTTGGAATTTTATGATTTGTTAAAAAAAAATAGTTTCTTACTAAAAAAAATTGTATCTAAGGATAAGTATTAAAACTGTAATTATGTTTGTAAATTAAAATAATTTTAAATTAAATTAAATGTAATGTTTATTATGCATTTGCTATTATTATATATTTACATTTTATGTACCTCTTTTTTTAAGTGTCCCCCTTTAGGATAAAATAATTATGGTCACACTAAGTATGAGTGACGATGTTATTGATAGTATACTTGCCAAAAGTTTAAAAAATGCAAAAGAAATGGCAACAAACTTGGGTAATTATAAATAATTTAAAATGCTATAGTTATTTTTTTTTAATTTTTGCTAATTTTTTTTTTATTTTAAGGTATACAAATATATGAAGATTCTTTGTTAAGACCTCAGTATTTATCAAATGCAGTTCTTCAAAATGTAAATGAAGATTTAGATGAACTTATGGATGAAAATCTATCATCATCTGTTAGCACGACAACTTCAATAGTTAATGGCGAGGTTAATGACATTTCAGAAGATACATTTAAGGATTTAAGTAATATATCAGAATTTGGTGATTTTGGTAGTGCTTTAAATTTAAAAGATTTTTCAATATCTGACAAATTCTTAAACACTTTATATTTAAATCAGAAAAAAAATTTAGGCAGCGATAATATTAATTCTCAGACAGAGTTTGTTAATGTATCATTAGATGAAGATTCAATGACAGTAGTGAAAAAATCTAGCCTTTGCTGGCTGTTTGATAGTAAAAATAAAAAAGTAAGCAATGATCGGCTACAAAGATTTATAAATAATAAACCTGGTAAAAACTATAATACAAACAAAAGGAATAAGCCTCAGAATAAGCAAAAAGTACACTCACACAAAGATAAATCCTCGGATAAATCTAAATCCATTTACAAAAAACCGAGCAAAAAACAAAAGACCAAAGTATTTTTTCAAGATTCAGAAGACTCTGACGTAGAGTTAAAATTATGTGTTAATGGACCAGATAATAATGATGTTGTTTTGTTGGATTCAAAAGAGTTACAAGTTACTAACACCGAAGAAGAATATAAAAAACCGGCATGGAATGACATTAAACCAGGAGTTTATTTATTAGTAAGATTTATGGGATACAATAAAAAACCTCGTAGAGAAGAAACAAAATTTCAGTATGTTTGTTGTGTGATTCAAGTAGAAACTGATGAAGATGAAGGTATCATACAAGTTCAAGGCATGGCAAATGAAAAAACAAACAAACATTTCTCTATGAAAGAAAACGACACTTCGTGTATTAGTATGGATATGGTTTTAACAGTTCTTCCCGAACCCATACTTGTGCAAGAAAATAGAAAATTATTATATGTCTTTCCCAAAAGCATTGATGTATATGAAAAATAATATTAATTAAAAACAAAAAATAATTTTTACATACTTAATTTTAATATATTTTGTTTTAATTAATTTATAATGTATAATATTAATGTGTAGGTACCGAGGTAGGTACTGTAATTTTATATTAAAAAATATTTTAATTATTTTAAAATATAGGTATAACTGAGGGTATATATTTTATAAAATAATTAATTTACATAGGTACCTATATAATGTATGTGTGTGTATTCAAATACTTTTTTATGTAGGTATTGAATGTTTTTAAATATTATGGGCCTCAAAGTATTTTCAAAAGTATGTATTTTTAATAATTTTTTGAATTAAATACTAATTTATTATGAATAATTTTGGTTTTGTTTTTGAACATTTTATTATTGTATTGCCTACTCTAAGAATAGATTTATTTGGTGTTAAGTGATAGCCAAAGACATGTAAAACCTAAAAATATTTAAATTTTATTGGTAATCATAGCCAGGCGGGTATAACTCATCGGCAGTAATTGGCACCGTATAGTTTCATGGCCCAGCCACCGGTCGCAGCACATGCACGCGCGCTATCACAATGTCCATCGTCCGACGTCCATGACTTTGCATTTTGCGATTGTACGGAAACCTTGCTCCGCGCTCGCATAATTTGTAGGGTGACTGCTCCAGTAAATGAACAGTGCCAGTGAATGAACATACCAATGATAGTGAACGTATTATTTTATATAATAAGAAAATCAGAAGTAATATACTATGAGAAATGGTATCAACATTTAAAAAATATTCTGATGTTGGTCACATTGTAATTTTATAATAGAAGACTTGAAATCATTTGATTAAGAATATTTATCGTTTCCCTCCAATTACTATCATCTGTGTTGTTATCAAATTGTTTTATTTTTCAAATGTTGGGTGTTCAAAAACGAAACATTAAAACATCTTCAACACAAGGTAAGATACTTTAAGTGATATTTATTTGATTCTTTACACACTTATAATGCCATTCATATATTAATCAATTGACTTAAAGCATTTTCTAATCTATTTTAGCGGTGTTCAAGCACTGGTTCATGTAAAGATGCAAAAACCAGTGAATGAACTAGTGTTCATTCATTGGGATTTAAGTGTATTACATTTTACTAGTGAATGAACATTGTGCATTTTATTTTATTATTTTCTAATTTAACATGATCATAGTTAACTTTAATTTAATAATCAATACATTTTTTAGATTATTATTTTTTTTAATATAATCAATAATATTATTTTTAGGTACTCAAAAATATAGCAATGGCTAAAAAGAAAGCACCAGCAAAAACAGACAATGTATCAAAAGAAAAAAAAAACTATGTACGATTTAAATATACTGAAGAGGAGCTCATTAATGCAGTATATACAATAAAGAATAAAGATAAATCTCTGAATCAGGTAAATAAAGATACAGAGATTCCAAAGTCAACCCTGAGCAATAAGGTTAATAATAAAGTTCCTATTTTACGAAAAATGGGACCTAATACTATTTTATCTTTGAACGAGGAAGATAAAATTGTCAAATGGATTTTGGCTAAGGCTAAGGTAGGATTTCCTGTCCACCCTGAAAATATTAAAGATTCTATACAGAAAGTATTGAAGAGTTTCCCAAGAAAAAACCCTTTTAATGATGATAGACCTGGGAAAAAATGGTTAAATTCATTTTTAAATAGACACCAAGAAATAGGAAAGAGGCACACAGAAATAATATCTAAAGCAAGGGCTGCCGTCACTGAAAATTCAATAAGACTTTGGTTTGATGGTGTTTCATCATTTTTAAAAGAAGAAGGGTGTTCAGATATTCTTTGTGATAGTAGAAGAATTATTAATTGTGATGAAACCGGTATACAACTTTGTCCAAAAACAGGAAAAGTATTGGGTCCCAAAAAAATGAACAATTTTTATGAAATTGCAAAAAATAGTGAAAAAGAAAACATAACTGTTCTTTGTACATACTCTGCCAATGGTAGTGTTCTTCCCCCAATGATTATTTATCCCTACAAAAGAATACCGAATTACATATATCAATCAGTACCAGAAAATTGGGGCATTGGGAGGAGCGATAGTGGTTGGATGGTGTCAGCTACATTTTTTGAGTATATTGCTAACATCATGTACCCTTGGTTAGTAGATAATGAAGTCGACTTTCCTGTTATATTATATCTAGATGGACATAAAAGTCACTTAAGTTTAGAATTATCAGAATTTTGTACAGAAAAAAAAATTATATTATATTGTTTACCACCTAATGCGACACATATACTTCAACCTTGTGATGTTTCAATTTTTAAGCCATTGAAATCCTACTGGAAAGATGTGATAAAAGCTCATAATTTGATATCTAAAAGTCCTATTACAAAAAATAACTTTGGGAATATTTTTAAAGATGCTTTTGATAAAGTAAAACCAGAGTCGATAATAAATGGTTTTAAAGCATGTGGTATGTTTCCATTTAACCCAGATGCTGTTGATTACACAAAATGCATACCAAATAGACAAGATGAGGTAGATTTGATGTTTCAAGAACAACATGCACAAGATTATCCAAGCAAAGATGAGTATTTTGTATGCCAAAAAGTTATAAAATACATATTAAAGAATCACACTATTCATAATATTCTCAGCAATGAACCATTTTTAGAAAAAATTTGGAACACCTGTAATGTAGAAATAGCTGAAATCACAAATAAAAGTTCCTTTGGTTCAGAGGCATTTAACATTTTAGATATGCCCATTGAATTAGAAGGTTCTAATTTCAGTTTTGATGAAGAAGTAATGAAAGATTTAGGTGTACAAATCTTGAATTCAAATTCAGTATATGAAGAAGAGCATCTAAACACTGAAACACCTCCAGAAACTTTTCAGTTTTTAAACGAACAAGTAAGTAATATTTATAACCAAATAGATAGACAAAGAATACAATATTCAGGTGAAAAAAATATATATTTAAATAAAGAAGACTGTATCATAGTATCACAGATAGGAGAACATGAAGTGGAATATTCATGTGTAGAAGATATACATTTAGATAATGAAGATTGCAATAGAGATCCACTGACAGAACAAAAATTGCAATGTTCAGGCGAAGAGGGTGTAGATTTAGGTAAGGAACGTTATAATGTAGTTCCACATATAGAAGAACAAGATATGCAAAATTTAAATATGGTAAATTGTAATATAAATGTACTGCTAGATGAACAGGAAACACAGCATTCAAATGAAAAACACTGTAACACAGTTTCACCGACAAATAAACAAGAAGACGTACAGTGTTTAGATTCTATAAAAGCTTCAAATTCATCTTTTAAAGACGTATGGGATAATCACTTTAGCTGGCCAAAAGAAGAAATCAAAGAAAAAAAAAGGCAGAAGGCCAAAATTCCATATGCCATTACATCAACAAAATGGAAAGATATACAAATTGATAAAGAGGAGAAAAAATTAGAAAAAGAAACCTTGATTTTAAAAAGGAAAAATGAGAGATTATTGAAAAAAAATAATATTGATAACAAAAGAAAAACTGAGAATGTAAAACCTAATAGCAGTACTAAAAAACAAAAAGTTTTAAAAGAATCTACAAAATTCAAGAAAAACTTTTCTGTTGGAGATAATGTTATGGTCCAGTATGAAGGGGAGTTTTATCCAGGAATAATAGAAGAAAAAAAAAAGAAAGAATTGAAAGTAAGTAAAAATAATTATTAGGTATTAATATGTGTGTGTATATTATACTACCTATATCAATTTTTATTTTTAAAGGTTAAAGCTATGTTGATGTACAAAACAAATTGGAAATGACCAACAGTAGATGATGTTTGCTGGTACCCTGAGGAAGATGTGAAAATGATTGAAGCTCCTAAACTATTGAGTAACTCTACAACAATTTATTCCTGTTTGGAAATAAAAAAAAAAAGAACCAAACCTAATTCCTTAAATAATAATACAAGTTCCTAAATACCTTAATACATAAATAGGTTTAAACTCATTTTAAGTTTTATATTTTATACTATTTAAGTTGTTGTATAATGTGTATTTTATTACTTATTTAACATTTAACAGTACTTATATTATGTTTAATTTTATCTTGTTGATGTTAACTACTATACTAAGTATATTGTGTTTTTTTTTTAAAGATTTTATGTTGTTGAAGTTAACTACACTAAGTTAACTATACTAAGTAACTACCTATATTATGCTTTTTTTATGATTTTATGTTGATGTTAACTACTATACTAGGTTTTTTTATGATTCAATTTTGTTGATGTTAACTACTATACAAAGTATATGTTTTTGTTGTTATTTAAAATAAATAAGTATTTAAAAATTGATTATTTTGTCAGGTGTTCATTTACTGAGTAATAAGTGTTCATTTATCTGACATGGTTCATTCATAGGGAAATGTGTGTTCATTTACTCGGCATTTTGTTCATTTACTAGAGAAAATTGGTTTATTTCAATAAACAATTTTTTAGTTGTGTCTATGTATTTTCTTCAATTTTTTTTTAATTATAAAATATAAGATGACATTCCATTTAATTCACAAATAAAAACTGAACTTGATGATACTAAACGCTAATATGGTACAAATATTTACTTGTCTACGAAA